CACCTCCCAGCTGATCCCTCCTCCTCCTCCCCTTCCTCCCCCCACCCTCAGAACCCGGCCTGTGGCCCCCCGTCCCCCTCAGTGCTGCTTGTCTTCTGCTGAGCTGCCTGTTTGGACACTTGCTGCAGGAGCAGAGGGACGATCAGCTACAGGGACGCACATGGTGAGCTCCTCACAACCATTTTATCTTCTCAAAAAAAAAAGAAGAAGATTTTTTTTACAGTTGTTTAGTATTTGATATAATATTGAACTAACAGTGGTGGGTTTTCCAAAGTAATTTTGTGATTAAGCAAAGTGAGACGCTTGATTTGGACTCAGTTAAACTCTTAAAATTCCTTCTCAGAATCATGTTTTCAAATAATCTCTTAAATCCTAAAACAAATACAGGAATGGCGTTGGTATAAACAGATTTAATGAAGTTTATTCTTCCAATTAGAGCAGCTTTTCCAAGCTTTCCCACAAAACCAAACCTCAAATTAAGCTTTCAGTCTTTTTGTCATCATTTCCCGTATTTTTAAAGTTGTTTTTGCCCTTAATTATATTCGTCATCTGCAAGTTCAAAAGCAAATATAATTGCAGCACATGAATAAACACTGTAAACAGGCGTCCAGCCTAAATGTGCACAGGAGGAGCAGCAGAAAGCATCTGAGCGGAGCTGTTTGATCAGCCTGATAGACCCTCTGAGTAAATATTATTGTTCCTCTCTGAGACAAAGATAATTGACTGCAGCCAATTTTCTCCTCAACAAGCGCAATTAACTGAAGCAATTACACTGTAAAACCCCGACTCTCAGCTGCTGCCAAAATAACCCAAACTAAATATGATAAACATTTGTGTTTAATGAACCGCAGCAGGTTAAAGGCAGCTTCAGCAGATGTGACTGAGCCTGATTTTTTGTCTTTTTTTCCTTTTAGCTGCTTTTATTCCATTAAAATCTCTTCAAAGGGAAAATAAACCCAATTTACCGTCTTACAGGCGCAGCAAATTAAACTTTGTGTTTTTACGCGTAAAGGATTCTTCTTAATCTTTGTTCAAACATATTTTTTGCTCATAACATAAGTTTTAATTTGATCTGCTGCTCATAAGAACCCTGCAGCGTTCCTGTCTCTGATCATCAGTCAGTCGTCATGTGGGTTTCCTTCACGCAAACACAAGCAGAGATTTTGTTTTGTTTTGTTTTGTTTTGTTTTTACCGCCGTGCCAGCAAGTCGTCTTTGGCTCGTTGCCGCGATTTCATCTCCATCTGTTTTTCGAACATCATCACGAGGAGCTGGAGAGCCGTGGAGCCTCTCGCCAACTTGTATGAAGCTGTAAAAAAAAAGGAAAGAAAAGGGAAAAGAGAGGGGAGATTTGTGAGGAAAGTCACTTTTAAATCTCAGCTATCAACATGTGTTATTTGGTTTAAATATTAAAAAAAGGCCCAGTGTGGCAGGGGGAGGCTTTGCAGAGGTTCTGACAAAGAGCCTTAGAGCTAAAGATACAAGTGGTGACAATCCTTTTTGTGTCCCCACTAAAATTAGATTATTACAACCTAAAACAGAAACTCCTGGAATCTCGGACCGAGCAGGAATTCACTTTGGGAATACGGCGGCGGAAGCTCGGCAGAGCGACTTCTCACTCTGGGATTTTATTTCTGACGGCGCTGAGAACAATTGCGAATGAACAAAGGTGGCGGTTGGGTGACGTGCTCCAACAGGTGCCGCTCCAGATGATAGAACTGATCATATTTATTTAAAGGCTTCGTGTTCGAGCGAAGCTGCAACGGAGAACCCTGGGAAATTTATCAGCTCAGCCCCGGTGTTTGTGGACACAGATTATTCTGATCAAATTCAAAACAAAGGATTTGATCAGTCTGAGGCCCCAGGCTCTACACTCCTCCATGAGATCATCAGCTGCATTTGTAATTTTTGGTGGGAAAAACAGATTTAAAATGACTTCCTGTGATRGAGGTTTATTTAAAAAAATTGCACACAGATTTGAGGTGTTGAAACATTATGTTTCTAACTTTGTCCCCTAAAAACCAAAACAACAAAAAAGCTGATTTTCTATTTAAAATCATGTTGTTGCTGTCAAACTTTAATCTTAGACTAAACTGGTTAATAACTGAGAGAAAGCTGTAAACAGAGTAAAAAAACAATAAAAAAATATATGGCTGTTTTGATTTATTTTTTTAGCCTAGCACAGGTTTTGTCTGAGCTTTCTGGATCTTTTTAAAAACAGAAATTTTCTGCTGCATTTCTGGGTCAAATACAAAAAAAAAAAATTTTTGGCGGGAAAACACTTAAAACTATTTTCCGTGATAAAAATAAAAATAAAATATTCCATGTGGTCCTGAAATAAAAAGCTGTGTAAAAATGATGATTTTTCACTTACGCCCTAGAAACCAAACAACAATGGAGCCGCTTATTTTTATTTTTTGTCTTGCCCTTTTTTTAAAGCTGTTGCTGTCAAACAAGTAAATTGGTTAATAACTGAGAAAAAACAGTAAAAAAAAATAATGCTACGAAAACCCAGTAAAATAAAATTGCAGTTGTTTCGATGTTTAGTCAAGCACAAGTCTTGTTTGAGCTCTTCTGATATTTTTSATATTTTTTTCTGCTGCATTTCTGGTTCAAATGCAAAATGTTTTTGATGTGGAAAATAGTTAGATTTAAAGTTTGCAAGACTTTTAAAAACTAAAATATTGGTGAATATGAACATGAGACATGGAGACATTGAGAATGTATGATATTTTTTGGCCTTTTTTTAAACATGTTTTTAAACCTGTCTTCCTTTATTAYGATACAAATTTTGATCGTGGTTTGAAATAGTTAACAGCTGAGAGGAAACTGTTTTGGGAGTAAATTCAGCCAGGCAAAGCACCTGTCCCAACTACTTTACATACTTGTAAAAACAGGTATTTTCTGCTTTATTTGCACCTCTCTTTCATACAGACAGAAGGTTTYCATGAGAAAAACTAATATTAAAGAAAAAGCCTTACAACTTTTTCACGTCAGGTTATGGTCAGACTGGAGATAACATGCAGCCCACTTTGCACATTGTCACAATCACTTTGTGCWCTAGAAACAATCAAATACAAGGCAGTTTTTTAAATTTATGTTTTATTCGGGCTTGCATTACTTTGTTGTGTGAACAATACTAAATAAAAAAAAAACAATGTTTTGGAGTCATTTCAGCCACTAAGCTTGTTTTTTCCTCTTTTATAGCAGAAACTCTCACCATCTACTGGTGTGACATGAGTAATTTTGTGGGTTTTTTTTTTTAGAATTTGTAGATAGGGAAAATGGCAACAAWTTAAATATTTGTTTTAAGTAATTGGGTAATAATAAAAGTAGAATTAGTGTGGAGAAGGTTTTAGACTGTTTTCCTCCATATTTTTTTATGTTTTCGTGGATTTGTTGTGTATCCTTTTTGCGTGACGATATTTTAGTAGTTTTCCTTGATTAATCGTTTTGACAAAAATTATTTTTTACAAAATAAGAAAAGAAATAGTTTTAAAAATATCCAGAGTCGTGCAGAACATGCTTCGCTGTGCGAGCAGACAGGGCCGTGACGAGGAATGCAAAAATATGTGAGATGGGTCAAATCCAGCTCATCTGCTGAGCAGAACAATCTGAGTGGAAACAGGCTGACAGTGAGAACAGGTCCGACAGACCTAAAACACACATCCATTTAATATATAACACACAATTTATGGTAATCCTTCAATTGTCTCTAGAATTTATGCTATCAAAAGGAAAATTTAGTATTTAAACACTCAGGATGGAATAGTATGTTTCATTTGAAAAAGATTTTATTTATCATGTTATAAAAAAATTAAAAAATAAGAAGAAAATATGGATTGATGGACAAAAAACAAACAAACAAAAATGTGAATGATAAAATATTCAGATTCAGAGAACAGAAACCAAAAAGTCATTTTCTGCCTTAAAAGTCAGGTTTTATTACAATAACATAATTATCTGGCGTTTACATTAGTTACTTAAGCAAATAATATCCCTAATTTCCATTAAATTTGTTTATTTATTGGTGTTTCATTGAAAAAAAACTTTTGAATAATTTCTGAGGCCTGAAAGGAAGTTTTGATTTTGTTGCGTTTCTGGTTTCACACAAACTTTAACTTCATGAAAAATAAATAAATAAAAAGCRTTGGAGAAAAACGATATGAGGTCTGCAGAAAACAAACTGCAGCGTCTCTCTCTGTTGGACCGGGCCGTAAACATGCCCTCAGGTTGTCAGCAAGTATTTTTCCAGCCTCTTGCCGGCCAAAAGCAGCTGCATGTAAAGATCACCCGCCGTGGATGCAGTTGATCTCATCGCAGCACTATTTGTTTTCTAAAGACGGATTACTGCCAAGTTCTTTTATACACTCCAGTTTACCGTAGGGCTTTAGAAATAAGAGCATCGTTATGTTTTAGAGGGTTGTTTAAAAATGTGTAAGATTTAATCCTGAATCATTGTGGGAATTAATGAAAAATCATCTGTCAGGTTGGTGTCAGACACATGATGTGTTTTTGGAGGAAGAGTGAGTCCTGGTTTGGTCTTGAGGGGTGCGTTAAAATCCTTGCGGGAGGGCGGCTTCTCATCCGTTTATCAAAGCTKAATTGTAACGGACCAACGTTTAATTAGTTGTGTAATGTGGCAAAAGACAAGAGCAAGAGTGTCATGAGAACCTCCACCTGCCTCCGGCTGCTTACAATTCCCCATCCGGGATAAAACTTTCAGCGTGATCTCAACCATCCACACCTGAATCCTGTACTAACATCTTCCCTGCCTTTGGTCCACCTCCTCACCGTTTTTTTTTAAACGAGCAGGATATGGATACCAAATGAAACCAGAGACCTAATTAATCACCCAACAATTTATGATCCCATCTTCTTATCGGTGCCTTCAGGCTCCCGAGGGGCATGTCTCGACATGCCAGGAATGGCTAGCTGAAGCATTCTGGACTCCAGGAATGTGGCTCAGTAGAACCGGGGGTCGCAGTCRGACCACTCATCGCGGCACTCGCTGCGTTTCCTGTGGCAACATAAAAAAAGGAAGAAAAAAAATGGAGTCACCCATTTTTAGCTTTTACTGTTGGTTTTGGAGGTCAGGATTGGAGGAGCTTGTCCCCTGAAAGAGCGCCAGGCCTCTCAGAGCTGTGTGGTCCCCTGAGGTGGGCTTCATGTTTCCACCGATGGTTAATTGAGTGGAATGACGAGGCCGGAGAGGCTCGAAAGCCCCCCTGTCCTTCTCCTACGAGTTTGGTTTATGCTGCCCTGCTGACTTTGCTGTCAGTGTCAAACGCTTGTTAGGACATCATCAATCTTACAGCAGTTAAGAATATTCTCYRAAACAGAATGAAAGGACCAGGTGATAAACRGAGACGGAGGAGCCGAGGGAAAGTAGCTGGAAAAGTTTGTTATTGTTGAAATATTTACAAGCGTTTTATGTATGCTCATGGGAAAAAGCAAGTCCGATTGCTTTCATTTGTAGGGTTTTACATGTTGGAACATAATTGAASAATCTGGTTTTTGCCAGGTCCTAAAATAATTAAACTTAATCTAAGTGTAAAAAAACACAAAATATTCTATCGTGTCACTGGTGCTGGTTGGTATGATCAGAATATTATATCACAGTATTTTAAACATTTAGTTTATTTATCATTGTCTCAAGGCACCGTACAAAAAACAATCAATTTAAGGAAGCCTGCAGATTGTGTTGAATTTTCACCTGGTTGCGGTTTCACAGCCTGAGCAGCCCATTGGCAGCAGTGGAAAGGAAAAACTCCCTTTTAACAATAAGAAACCAACAGAACCAGGCTCAGGACGRGCAGTCATCTGCCTTGAGGATTTATTATACTGGTGTCATGATATTTGGTGATATGTGGGGATGTTAGGTTTGGGGGTCCTCCTGGGGCTCTTTGGTTTTGAGCGGTCTTGGTGTTGATATGTTTGAGGAGGAGGAGCATGTTGCTCGTGTTTCTGCCAGCAGAGCACCARCATTTGATTGACGTCTCAGCTTTTGGAGCCGTGGTGCTTTCGAACTGCAAAGGCTGTCCCCTTTTTCTGCGCATGGGTTCTTTAGGGTGTGCCCTCAGATGTTCTGTCTGCTGAGGCTTCTCTTTCTAACGAGTGATTGACAGGCACGACGCTTCAAATATTCTTCAGGCTGTTTAAACACGTATGYTGGTATACCCAAAAATCAYATCATAACAAAAATTAAAKGGGYAATATTATGYGTTTCTCAGGCATACATTTAAATACTATACCATAATAAAGTATCTCTGTCACMTTTAGYTGTTATTAAAATGCTGTTTTTATGTTTAAATAGAAAATAAACTTATCTTCTCCTGACTTCCTCTTCTGAACGCCTTGAAATTGACCTCTGTCTCTTTAAGAACCACCTTCTGCTTCTGTCTCGCCCATTTCAGTGCAGGGGGGGGGGAGTCGCGCTCGCTGTAGGAG